CGTTCCCTTCGTCACTCCCATCCTTATTGATCCTGCACAACGCCACGCCGAACACCGCAGGCGAAGCGACATCTCAGGGACAAACTGGTTTGGCCATTGGAGACCCCAGTCGAGTTCCACGGTATGCACGGGTCGCCATGGACTCACTCGGTTGTGACGCAACTCATATCCCGAGGCAATCTCCGTTGCTGGCCGCCATTATGAAGCGTCACGAGCGAGCTGGCCAGCTTGGCATGCCAACCACTTGGTGGTGAGCTTCTTCCAATCCAGCTCGAGGTCCGTCTCCAGTACTGGGTCTGATATGGCCCAGGAGGCTTGCATCCGCCGATTGCTTCTGCCTATGACCGTAGCCGGCTGGCCGCCTCAACCAGCCAACGGATTCGCATGCATCGTCACCTTCTCAATCAATATCTTGTCCTTGGGCCTGTTCTTCTTGTCCACCTCGGCCGTCTCGATCTTGTGCAGCGTAGCGAGGCTCTCGTCGCCGATAGTCTTGCCAAAGACGGTGTTGAGCCCGTCCAAGTGCGGCGCCTTGTCGAACAGGATGAAGAACTGCGAGCCGTTGGTCGCGGGACCCTTGTTGGCCATGGAGATGATGCCCCGCGCGTTGTGCTTCAGCGTCGGGCGCAGCTCGTCCTCGAATGTGCCGCCCCATATGGACCTGCCGCCCTTGGGGTTCTCGGGCGGGCTCGGCTCGGCAGGCGCGCCCGTCTGCGCCATGAAGCTCGGGATGAGGCGGTGGAAGGGCGAGCGGTCGTAGTAGCCGGAGGCGCAGAGGGCCAGGAAATTCTGTAAAGAGACAGACAGAGTCAGTCGCGTGGAGCGGTGGGTAGAGGGTAGTGGATGGCTGATGCGTACCTCTGCGGTCTTGGGCACGCTTTCGCAGAAGACCTCGAGCTTGATATCGCCCTTTGTGGTGTGTAGTGTGACGGACATGGTAAAGACGGAGCTTTGCGTGGCAGTACGCGATGCTCAGTGGCTGCTGCGAACGCTCAAAGTGTCAAGCTGTGGTTGAAGATGTGGTTGTCGCGTTGCGGGCGAATGTGGATAGCTGCAGCAAAGTGGGTGTGCAGCTCCCAGCTGCAGACTCCAGCGTCGCCGCTCACCGTTCGCGGATCCGGCCAAGAGGATCCGACTCGACGGGCCGGAGTGGAGCAGCCGGGACCGCGCCGGTGCAAGTCCCAACCTGGCTCGCCTGGAACGCTTCCAGTAGGCTCGAGTTTGCTCGGTTGCTTGCTTGGGACGACGATCATACTGCCACATCTGCCTTGCCTGGAGCAGGCTGCGCGGCTCACGGCAGGACCCCCTTTGGCTGCACGTGCGAAGCAAGCCTGAGGTCAAACCCTGCATAGGAACGATACCGGCAGTCGTGGCTTGTGCCTTGAGTAATAGCATTCTGTTCGAGCAGCGGGTAATACTGAGGATTGATTTCTACCACTTCATTGCTGCTCCCGGGTGGTCTACCTTTCCCGGGAAGGCGGACACGCTCCGCACCGCAGTGTGCTCTAGGAAGCTGACAAAGCAGATCCCCATCGGCTGCGAATGAGGATGGACATTGAACATTACTCTGCGAACCAGCATCCCTGGGGTTGGTAATGGCGGCTGACAAGGAGGGGTCGACCAGCACGATGACCTCAGGCGACCAACGCGCGGGCTATGCTCGCCTGGCTAGATTCTCGATCAGCAGCGACCTGAGCAAGAATCTAGCCCCGCGAAATTCCCGAAGATGCGGAGACAGACCACGGTGCCGCCCGCACCGCACCAGCGCTGGATGCGAACATCATGGATAGTAGTCCGCTGCGAAACAAGCCAAACGGCCCCACCTGCGCTAAGCATAACTGCAACCCTGGCTTGCCCAGCCTCGAAGTCCTATGCCCCCACTCCAGACGCCTTGAATTAGAGGGTTCAAGCCCAGGGCCTCAGGCGAGGTAGGTAGTAACTCTGCATGTCCTGTAGCTTGAGTCGGGGCCTGAGCGTGTTTGCATTTCCTGGTGATGCTGGTTGCTGGAGCACTGGGGCTACTTGCTTCGCGGAGTATCAATCGGGAGGAACAGCTTGGCTGGCAGTCCCGAGGCACTTGCACAAGTCCGAGACTGCAGCTCCAGCCGTCCTCTCGGCGGCGCCACTTTCGGTCAGCTCCCAGCAACAAAGCGCATGTGCCCGCCAGGCCCCCACCATCACTGTGGTTGTTGCGGGCAGCGTACCCAGGCCAGGCACAACAACAACCCAGCCAGTGGTGGAGACAGCACGAGCTCTTGTCAGCTTCAGCATCAGCACCTGCGCAACCTCCTCCCACAGCACATCGCACATCCGACAAGGCTGCGTCTGTCTCACGCAAACGACGAATCTTCAGCAAAGGGACTGTCCCCGCACCGACGACTTTGCATCGCCCTGCTTCGCGCGCGCTCTCGAGCAACCTCATCCACCGCCTACTCCCCGACAAACCCGCGATCCCCGCACCAGCTGCTGGAGCGCCAACCAACTGAGACTTCCTCGGACCACATACGACCATTCTACGACTACCAGAATCCTCACCTGCGGTGTGCAGACGACGTGGCGACGAGCGCTGGTGCGCATGCACCTGGCACCAGCAGCGCCCCCTCTTGGGCACGGCGACTGAACACCACTCTGCGGCGACGAGCTGAACAGAAACTGCATGCTCCTGTCGACAACGATACCCCTCCTCCAGCTGGCGCCTCCGAGCCATCACCATGGCGGACCGAGTGCAGGCCTCCGTTCGCGTTTCTGGTCCTCCAAACAGTCACTTTCTCGTCGGATACCCTGGCATATCGGCAACGTTGGTGAGTTCTATCCTAGCAGCTCATTCTACGGAGGTGCCCTAAGACCTAGTACGGCTGTGTATCTGCAGCCTCGACATGGTGACCACATGCAATTGTTGTCCGTACTGCGGCGCTGGTCTTGGAGTTCACCCGCAGCCATGCCCACGTTCAAAACAGTGCCTAATAGTATTTTTAGCCCCGTATTGAAGGCAAGGTCGAAATCCGACCAGATGCTGGGTTCAGTGCGCCCGTCGCCATTTCACTCGTACGAATATGTCTACAAAGACGAGAAACAATACATCCAGCTGCTGAGAATGTCGCCAAGCGCCATCTGGGTGCTCCGCGACGAGATACAACAGACGTCGTTGGCAAAGAGCTGCTCCTCTACCGATGTTCTACCGGCAAGGAAGCTGAGCATGTGGTTGCCATGGACCTCCCGTTCGTCCTCTTCATCCCATTCGGCCGTGGAGGCGAAGAGACAAATCGGAGGATACCACCGGCCTCATTACAACTGCCGAGCCGGACCGCTGAGACGTTCTATGAGCTCGTCGTCACATTGCAACAGGGCCAGGCGGTGCGACGCTTCGCCTTTCCAGTGCCATTACAACGATACGACACGTTGTCAACATTCGGCATGTACAACCGGCCAGAAACCAAGATTGCCACAGCGGACAGCATCGTGACCTTGGGCGTCACGTTGCCAAGGTGGAGCTACGGCCCCATGGACCCCATTACCGTCTACATAAAGGTGGCACCGAACCTCGACTGGATGAATAAAGCCAGGAAGGTCACTATTCAGAAGATCACGCTTGCAATAGAAGAGGAGATTACGTACAATCCCGAAGGAGACGAGCCCACGAAAAAGGTCAACAAGTTGCAAAAGCACCAACAAGTTGTCGGCTCGAAACTACCAGAGGCTGGCTACGTCACGAACATGGGTATCATATTTCCTCACAAGGATCTCCGAGATACCAATGGAATCATGAGGAGGCCACAGCCTGGGTTCCCGAACTACGAAGTCACATCCTTCACCACCTCGTCGACATTGTATAAGATTGAATTCTTCCTTAACATCAAGGTCAGTTGTGTCTCTGCTCCGCCAAGTTTGGTGAGACCTCGTCCTAACATCCAATCCAGGCCCACCTGACATCGGCGCGAAACATCGAGCTAAGACAGCCGATTGTGATTTGTCCAATGGATCACCAGGCCTGCAAGGAGGAGATGGCTGCCATCGAACAAGCCGCTAAGGACGCCTCGTCCGTCGACCAGAACAACCCCATGCTGCCCGCCAGATCAATAATAACAGCATCCGACCATAATGCCCTGGCGACGCTTGGCTTATGTATGGTTGGTGGCCAGAAGAAGCCTCTTATAGAATGAGGTCTGTCGATAGCTCAGAACCCGAGTCACTGCGGAATTCGTCGCAGTCTGCCGGCTTTTGGCATGGTGCAGCACGAAGTCTCAGCTGGGCTTGTGCTGCGTGCCCAAGCTGGTTGCCCATGCTGTCCCAAACGTATAGTGGGACAACCGCCACGACGCCTTCGTGCCAGCTCCGAGGCGGCCGCAGCACGACCTGTGCGCAGAAGGCGCGCAGAGGCGAACTGGCAAAGACTTTCGGGTCTTATGCTGGCCTCTGAACTGGTCAAGACAAGCAATCTTGACATGTCCTAGACCATGAAGCGGGAAGCCTCAATTTCGGGGCCCGCCAATACTCGCGATCAGGCAAACACGACGTCTGCCATACTATAATCGACGCGTGCTGTGATGGAATGAACAACACGGGTAGAACAGCCCGCCAAGGGCAACATCAGCTGCCCAGAAACTGTACGACTACACGTGTGTTTATCTTCCAGGATTTTGTGCCTCAAATGTCCCCAATCGCTGTCTACGCGCAGATCCAGGTGTACTGGCTTGTATTCGGGGACCGTGACAGCTCTCCGCACAAGGGCTGTGCAAATCGTGAGGACACCGGATGGATGTATTTCATTCAGTACATATTTGGGTTGGTCCGGGCGGCATAGAACTATAAACGACCATGGATGGGCACCATGTATGACACGACTTGTTGATGTCGACTCTTCGATACTATTCTTCAATACCAGCGAATACCCCTGAGCACCACATTAAAAATGAATACTGTTCCAAATCATGATGCGCTGCTGCCTTGGCTGGATGTCTTGCAGCATCAGAATCGCGCGAAAGGGCAAAAAAGAAAATTGTTGAGAGCTGCAGGATTCGAACCTGCGCGGTTTCCCATCGCGGAAGTTACGGGTTTCACGGGTTAACGTAAAGACCTAAACACGACGCCTTAACCACTCGGCCAAACTCCCGTTGTGCTTATTTCCGGGGAGCTTATTTACGGATATATACATCGACAGATGTGTCGCCGCAGTCACACTCCTCGTCGTGTTCATCCAAGGTTTTGGGCGTTTTTAGGGGGGATAGTCAAAGCTCCTGTCTGGACTGCTCCACGTTCCATGCTTAGACTCATAATAGACTCGAAATCAAGCCTTAAATTTCGTCCGGGCATGTTTAGAAAGCCAATGGGAATGTCTCAATGCGCAGGCTTCCAGGTCCCCCGAATTCTCCGCGACGGAGGTGGTGGGGCAGCGGGACCCTGGACAGGAAAGCAGCCGGAGCTTCTGACGTGCTGCCACATGCAAGGCTCCGTAGCCTCGTGGATAAAATTTGGGTAACGGATGGAAACATGTCCAGTGACTCAATCGGCGTGACGGCGGTTTCTCGTTCACCAGGTCACGACCAGGAAACTCGGCCAGATTATCAGGTGCTAATCGTCGGCTCGCAGCGTCCGAGAGTTTTAGGAAGCTTGTGCGATAAACCCAATCCAGCTTTTCGACATCCAGGGATCTTCCCTTGACCTCGATTCGAGCCCGACCCAGCCCCCACTCGTGGACGGCAGTATCGACTTCACCACCACCATAGTCTCTACAACGCGATGCCGTTCGATGACGACGACGATGGCGGCGCATCCGCAGCAGTAGCCGCCACAGCCCCAGGCGACGAGGACAGCCCCGCGGTCCCTGCGAACCTCTCCGCCGCCACCAACCCGGATGCCGGCGAGGACGATGAAGATGGCGACGACACACAAGCCGACTTCCTGAAGTTCGCGGCCTCCCTGCCCGGCGGCGGCGGCGGCCGATCAGGCGGCAAGAAGACAGCCACGGCGGGCAGCAAGAAGACGCTGCGGAGGGGCGAGAAGGACTTTGAGTCGCACGGCACAAAGGCACAGGTCAACGTCCTCGAGGACAGCCGCGAGGCGATGGGCCACGTGCTGGGGTACACGCGGGCGCACAAGGCGCCTGGGCACAAGGACTACCTGAGGGGGTGGTATTATCCGGAGTGGTGGGCGGAGGAAGAGGACGTGCAGCGGAGGATGGCTCAAAAACCCACCACAGCTTCCACAAGCGCCGACGACGAGGGCATCAACAAGGACGAGTGCGGCACTTCGAAGCAGGGCGGCGCGCCGCAGCCCGACACGTCGGGCATGTTCTCACGGGACCGCGTCGTCGTGCTCGAGTCCGACGGCGGGTCTACGCTCTTCCGCAGCACGGGTCGCGTGTTTAGAGGCTTGAACAAGGACACGCCTGCGCGCTCGCGGATGTGGCTGCTCCCCGAGGAGGCGCTGTACCTTGTGGAGCGCGGGGATCTGGACCTGTGGTGGCCGTACCGGCCGCTGCCGGAGATGTTCCCGCCGGAGTCGTCAGTGCCGCCGGCAGGTCCAGATGGCGAGCAGCAGCAGCCATCGATTCCCGATGTGCTGGGCGCGGGCACGGCGGATTACGATCTGGGCTTGCCGCTGAGCCTGCAGGCCGCGTACTCGCTGTTCATCGGCAGCGACGGGGAGCGCGGGAAGGTCAGTCTCGAAAAGTACCAGGTCTACACGAACCTCCGGAGGACAGGATACACAGTACTGCGAGCAACATCGATACCGCTGCCACCCAAGCCGCCACCCGTGGCGCACGCGTCGATATGGCAGTGGCTCTTCAGCCTGGTGTCCGCCTCCAGCCAAAGGACACACCACCTGCCCGACGGCCCGCTCGTCAAGCCAGGGCTGTACCGGTCATACCGGCCGATATTCGAGCAGCAGGCCATCGTACAGCGGCACAAACCGGTCTACGAGCCAGCAGACACCACGGGACCACCGCAGGACCCGTTCCGGATACACTACCACGTCTGGAAGGCCAGTGGGACGTTCACAAAGGCCCGCCCGCCACCGCCGGACTTCCAGATCGCCGTCGCCGACACGCGCACGTCGTCGGTGCCGACGCTGGAGGAGCTGACCGCGCTGCTTGAATCCACGCCGTGGGACCCGCCCGCGCCGCCGCCGCCGCCCAGGGATGGCGGAGCAGGTGGCGGTGGCATGAACGTCGGCTTCATGTACAAGCGGCTCAAGCACGGGTGGCGCAACGCCATCGTCGCGGTCGTGGACAGGGGGCTGATCAGCTACGTCCGGCTTACGGAGATGGCGTTCGGCGAGGAGCTCCTGTATGCATCGTTTGACGACAAGAACAAGAAGGGCGGCGGGAAGAGGGGCGGTCGCGGAGGCGGTGGTGGGAGGGGAGGCAGGGGAGGGAGAGGTGCTGGGAGGGGTGGCAAGAGAGGCGGTTGATAACATGCTTCAGTCTGTGTCCTGGAGGGCCGTGACTTTGAAACAAGAGACATATTGGCAGTGACGTCTGCCTGTGTTGTTACTCAAATTGTGATGCAAGCTACCTGCCGTGACTTCTGACAAAAGATGATTATGCAGGAGGCCCAGCCTGCCCCGACTTGGAAGGATGATAGCAAAGGCAGCAGCCGCCGTCCACCAAAGTACGCCAAAGTTGGTTGTATTAACTAAACCTTCCCTCTGCTGCATCAAGAAGCATCGCGAACGTCGACAACCCGGACTTTCTGGCGAGCGTCGGCACCATCTCTGCTGCTGACACCTCGTTGTTATCCCAAGTCTAAAAGAGTTGGCAGCGTCCATAACGGATGCTTTGCAGTGATCGCATACGGGTCATTGAACAGGCGCATTTCTCAAAGAACAAAAAGGCAATGATCGCCATGGATCTTTTGACTGGCTGGCTGGCTAGCTGGCCGGGATCCGCAAATAGAGACCCCTGCAAACACTTGGTTTCGAGCAAAAGGGCCTCGTGAACTCGGGAGTGCTAGAGACCATCATCATGTAACAAGATGGATCTCCATGTCTTGATTATGAATTGGGCAATTGGCCAGGTCGCGATCACTAGAGCAGACGCTGCGATACTTATATCTGCAGTGTGCACCATCGTTTCGGAGCTATAAAGCTGGCTCCGGGTATGTGGGCAGAGGGGGCCTTCTGCGGATTGTCGTTGGATGAATTATTCCCTTATCTTACCCATGTTTCGAAAATCATGCGCATTGTTGGAATTATCATCATGACACAGTTGCACCAAAGTTAGTCTCTGCGCAGGCAGTCAAGTGAAGAGCTTTGTTGCGTCTTCTGAAGTGCCGAATCGCAGCACCGCAATTGAGTACCATTTGTGGGCGCGTTCATCCTGGTTCCTGCCGGATGCAGGTGTTGCTTTCTCTGGCAGAAACAGCATTGGGAGCCAATATTCGGAGTGGGGGCGGCGCAGGGTAAATTGTGCGGCCGCTCCCTCATACGGTAGGTCTCTCTAAGCTTGTGCCATAATGATGCGATGATTGCTCAAGGGTGTTGTGGTGTGACCCAACAGCCACTTTTGTGGACTCGTGGTTGTTGGCGGGTGATGTGAGGCGAGAGACTTACCACAACACAGAGCGGCTGTGCTGCTCACGAGCGCGAGCCCTTTTGCTTCGATACTAAGACTTAAGAAGCTGGGAAATATGGACATGGACAAGAAGGACAGCCTCCAAAGCGAGATGGATGTTCCTGGACGGGACAGGGAAAACTCTGCCCTCTCCCGTCGCATAATTAACGGCGGGCCATAACGAGCGCTCTGGGGGCGCCAGACATGGAGTTCCAATATTTGGCAGCCCCGCTCTTTTGAGTTGCCAGGATGTCAAGGTTGGCCCCATGCAATTCTCGCAACGCAACACAACGCAACACAACAGACTCACCGCAGATAGCGCGGCCGTGGGAGCGATGGCACCCTGCTTCGTAGAGAGGAGGCAGTGCCGCTGGAGAGATGGCCTCGGCCCCAGCGCAGGAGAAAAAAACCCGCGGTGATTCACGAAACAGCCCTGCAGAGGTCCCGATGGAATGGGAAGTGCGAGGGCCGAATTGGCAAATTGGATGCATCCACTTTGCTGGAAAGGGTTTCCACTTGTCTTGCAGCCGCAGCCAATAAGCGGCAACCACTTGCTCTGGTGGAATTCCTTGGCTCACGCCTCGAGTCAAAAGGTTTCCTGCTCTACATCGTGAAGCGTGGGCGGCCTGGCGATCTGGTTCCTGCTCGATAAGTCCCCTGTTGTGCACGCTCTGTCAGGCAGCCGACACCAGCAACAACACCGCGCACAGACAGAGCAGAGTCATGCTTTTCCTGGGCAACGTGAAGTGCCGAGACGTCAAGACCCAACGTGTTTGCGACCTGCACAGTCTGGAGTGTGCCTGCCCAGATGCGTGTTGTCTCGACTGGTGCCTTCTCCACTCTGCGCAATCTTGAGGTGGCCACCAGAAACCAAGATTTCCCTCTGCACGTTCCGCCTCCGTCGCAGAGCTGTCATGTCTTGCCTCTTGATCTCGCCATTTATGCGCGCGCACACACTCTGGCCCACAACCTCATCAGGAACAACAAAACATCTGCCCATTTACCCGTCTGCCCATCTGCCAGCGCCTGCTTGCCTCGCGACTTGCACCAACGACCAACTCCTACATACTCCGTGCCTCGGGACAGGATCGACCCTGGACGCCCGTCGCACATGGGCGCACCGTGTTGTCGTTTTTGTTTTTGATGCTGCTGCTGCTGTTGCTGCCCTCTGCGCCCACGTTGGGTGCTAACTATAGGTGCATGTGTTGTACCTGAAGGTACCCTACCTTTAGGTATCTTAAGTAAGGAAGGTAAGTAATTAGTGCGCGAGCTTGACTTGCTCCCTCGTGCGCCGGCCAGAGTTCCACAACGCACCTGACCTGACACACCGTGGCTCGACCCACTTGTGGCAGTTGAGCAAAGACAGTCGCGCAAGCCATCCATCCCAGTCCCGCCCTCCCTCGCCCAGAAACTATCTCTCGAAATTATTCATCCTCACGCCTCTCCAGAGCCAAAGTCTTTCATCGGCTCGGCTGCACAACTCGCTCGCGCAGCTCCCGGATCCCTCCCTGCCCCTTGCCCGCCAGTTTCCACCGTGCCTGCAACCCTGGCCACTTTCC